GCAAACGATTTAGCTAATAACGCATCAGTTTCTTTTGTTGAGCTTGGTGCTCGATAAACACAGCCTATGAGAAGTTTGTACTTATCTCCATGTAAGACAACCCAGAGTGAGTCAGGTACATTATTCATTGTTTCATCTTCCACCTTACTGACTACAAATGAGCTATGTATATATATGAGACATCCTCCACCACGCTTGCAATCTCTTTTTGCACGGTGTACAGTGTAATCATCGATACCTATATGCACATCAAGTACAGATGATGAGCACCATGACTCAGTAATCAGAGCTACAGTAATAATAATAATAATAATGATTTACTCTATTCCAAAAACAGTACTTGTGATACAGAATGGAATTTTCAACATTAATCACAATATTGCATCTAATTTCCTCAAATTATAAATAAAATTAATCACACAGAAAATTTTTCACATTTACAATAGAGGTAGTGTCAAAAACATGCAGCATATAAAATGGAAATAGCAATAATAATGATAGCAGCTAGGGTAATAATAATAAGAATACAAGTGAAAATTGCCGTTGGCTTGTGCCACACAGTATTGTCAATGTGGTATAGAAATCCTAACATGTTTAAAAATATTGAATATAATGTTCTTTCTACATGATATGGTGAAGGAAAAAACATAGGTTACAGCCGTCATGGAGATAAGTTGGTGTTTGCAATTATGAGAATAAAACAGAGAATTAACAGGACCATAAATATAATAGAAGTAATAAAAGTAAAACTTGAAGGTATGTAAGGATGGATGGAGGAAATTGTTTATTTACTAGATGAAAGAAGGTTAGTTAATTCTTGCCTGACACTATTTTCATCACATAAAATACATGCCAAGTATGGTATCATAGACTGCTTATACTTAGACGTGCGAGCATACAGTTTTCTGGAGTTACTCCTTGTTCTACCTGAGGAGATGCAAGGTGAAAGCTGAGGGTAAAGCGGAGGCTTGGCGACTAATAATAATGTCCTTAGTTCAGATATCTTATTGATTAAGGAACGTGCATTAATTAGAAATGTCGTGAATAAGTCACGGGATACTACAAACTGGCTTAAAATGTCACCATAACCTAAATCTATTTGTGCGTCAGCACCGCAAGAATTTATGAATGAAAAGGAGGTCGGATTGAGTGTCTGCACATCGGAGTTGGTGTGCACTGAGGTTGTCCTAGGTGCCATGGGTCGTACCAGTGATTCGGGACACCTGGAAAATTTACCATGTGTTCCTGGATATAAAGGTAGTACAGGTTGGGCCTAGGTTGACGGTAAAAAGGCATAGCATCAGAAGGTCTACCCATCCAACTGCTATTCGTCATACCGGTATACACCTTCGGGTTGTTTTTATAACTTAAAGGGAATTGTGAAGGAAGGTGCTTTGGCTGCAAGACTTTAGGAGTCTTGGAGCCTGACTTTCTATAAGGTGGAGCATGCGGAACACCTCCAGATATACTTGTGTTTCGAGAGGAGTTTTTCGTAACAAGTGATGGTTTGTTGGCATTCTTACTCTCAGCGGGCTTATTGAATACAAAGTATTCTTCCCCATCATTAGTCTCAACTTTGCGAAATTTGTTCATCTTCGTACCACGTTTGGGGGAAAATTTCTTAGAACAACTTGCAGAAGTTCTAGTCATTTTAACATCTTTCGATGAGGCTTTATTCACAGGGGTAGTGGTATCTAAATCAGTTCCTAGTTCCATTGGCAGGTGTGGTTGTTGTGTAGTTTGCTGAATGCTAGCTTCAGATCTACGTGACTGTTGTTGTGCACGATCCATTTTTGGTAGATCTAAGCTAGAGGAGGTGATCAGGTTATTACTACGCATTATTCTGAGCTGACACGGTGTTTTATCCTGAGCTACGGTTATAGACTTATAACTGCTATTCAGTCTTAAGTCATCCTGACATTTAGTAAACTTACTACCATCAGGGGAATTACTGAATTTAAAAATGATGGGACAATTAGCCTGGTTAGACTTTTCACGAAGTCTTTTTCATTCACATTCATTTCACTTCCACATGGAACACTACCCATGCCGCAACAAATCAGGATTTTGTGTCCTACAGTTTTCAGGGGCAGAGAATCTATGACGTTTTAAACCATAGCATGATGAGAAGAGGTTATAAGCTGCATCACCTCCGCAGCAAAGCAGTCAATCAGACTTTCAGCTTTATTTAGGTTTTCTGGAGATATTTTAGGACAATTTCTCAACAGACAGGCTATTGAGTCTAAATCCGAAAGCTTGTTTTGAGTAACATCCAGTAAACATTTAACCTGCCAATATCAGAACGGCTTCCGTGGTATTTGAGATTGGCAGTGACATACTATCAAAATGATCTAATTTTTCCTGAAGTTCACTTACTTGCCTCTGCATATCTATCAAAAGGAGGTTTAATTTACAGAACTCAAAGTTCTCTAACAGAACATCTTTCACCTGTATCACAGGGGTGAGATCTGCACTCAAACCATTTTGAGAGCTAGCAGTTGATACCGTATTACACGACAGTAATGCAATTATAACCGAATTTTAGCCACTATCTAAAACAAATGTGTTTCTAAGAACACGCTTTTTAGAGATTTGGACCATAATTTCAAGAATTATATGACAATAAACAGTAAATAAATTTCAGAGCAAACACGTGCAAAAATGTCACCAATTTCGAACGTACCGCCATAGACACCTGTACACATTGTTTTAGAACATATGCAGGTATGCCATCAGGGCCAAGAGTATGTGAGGGCTTAAGAGTTTTAAGACATTTTAAAACATCGAGAGTATTAAAGTCCTGGAAGTTATCAGCTACAAGATAAGCAACGTTAGAAATGGTTATGGTAGAAGGAGAGCGTATAAAAGACAGATTAAGAGCAACAACATCACAAGAGGGAAAAACATTACATCGCTTACTATCGCCAGTAATTTCATTGAAAAATTTCCACATGCTGATAGGAGATTTGCATGATGAAAGTGTTTGTTTATAGATAGCATTAAGAGTTTTGATTTCAGATTTGATTTGAGCATTAATCCTTTTAAGTCCTAACTTGTCTTTGCATTTGTATAACATTTCTTTTTGCCTGCAAAGTTGTTTGAGATGGGGAGACGAGAAGCGGTCAAGGCGTTTGAACAGTGTTTGTTTGGGGCAGCATATGTCGAGGCAGAACTTAAGATAATCCATTATATTGGTGATTGAGTCATCTAGTGTACTTTCATAGAATAAATCCCAGTTAGTGTGTTTTAACATGCATCTTAGACTGAGTAGGTTGTCAGACGTGTAGCATCTTTGTTGTGCTTTCGTAGACAGGTGTGAGAAGATTTTAATATGTGTTTTGCTGTATGTTTTTGGCAAAACGCGGACAATACAGTGATCTGAGTTTAGTATCGGTGAGCGTCTACGTGTTTCATATACTCCTTCGTCATTAGTAAAACTAGATCGAGTGTTTGTCAAGTCGAATGGGAAATTTGACTATGTTTGTGTGACCAAGAGCTTCAAGAATGGAGCAATCTGAGGTGTTGAAGTCCCCAGTAATAACGGATAGAGGATCGTCGACGTTTGCAGCAGCAAACATGGTGAATTTATCAGCAAAATTAGATAGATCAGATGGTGAGCAACTAGGAGAAATGTACATGTTTGTAATATAGATTTGTTTATATTTGGGGAGATGTTTGGGGCGACATTTCACAGTAATACAGTCAATGAAGTCATTTGAGAAGGTGAAGCAGACGTTATTAGAGACAGACCATTTGAAGTGAATAAAAGTTGCAACGCAACCACCATTTTTCTTATTACAACATTGACGGTCCTGACGAAATAAAATAAAGTCCTTTAGTGAGATAAAATTATCATCATACAGTTCATGCAACCACGTTCCTTGTAATGTGATTATGGCGGTATTATGATAAGTATCAGTGGACATCAAGGATTGTAGGTACATTATCTTGTTTGGCAGAGAGCGGCAGTTTGTGTTCATTATGACGGGGACCGTAGTTAAGTGTATTGGTGTACGTTTGAGAGCTCTCTGCCAACCTCTACGATGTTTTCTCCTCAGTTTCTTTGGAATATGAAAGTCATTTGGTCGTAAATGATTAATAAAGTTACGGGGGTAAATTATTCTGTTAGAATTCATATTTAGGTGATAAATATTTATTTATTTTTGATTACAGCTTGATTCCACTCCGTATTTTTGGTACAAGTATGGAATTTTCAGCGTGGATATCGGTAGCCCGAAATTCGCAGGCCGACCATAGATATCAGGTGTGCGTCGGCGAGGTCTCGAACCCCAGACCATGTACATGGTCGGCGAGAGTCCTAACCACTGTGCCACCGACGCACAATATATGTTGGTATACAGTAGACTGGATGCAAAATGTAGATATTATAGTAGCAGGCCCAGAAATTTGAACAGGCCGCAAGGGTCAAAAGCACAGAAATACATTAAAATGATCACTATATACCTCAAACATTCTATTCTAAACCGAAACATGTGAGCTATTGAGCTTAAAGCTTCCTACGAGGAAGTTATTAAAGAAACGAGTGTAAAGAAATAAAATTGGTTCATTGAAGTTCGTTAAAAAGATATTGGCTATTGAAGTAAAAGGAGATTCCCGTCTCCCGCTGATAAATACTAATCAGATAATGTGAATACCTGCTCTTTCACTACTCACTATGGCCCTCTTACGTGATGAGCTTCCGCTAAGATATTTTCGAGTGTGGTTTGTTTTAACGCCTCAGATGCTATCGAAATTATATTAGGACAACAGGGGCTGACTTTCAACAATTTTGTGCGGATCATGACTACATCGACATTTGTAAAATACATTTTCATAACACTAGCTACTCTTTACTTATTAGATACTGCCTTTGCTTCTTCACCAAATTTCAGTACATATGAGGAGCTATTAGAATATCTTTACAGCAAGTTGACAATATATATTGACTAATTTTTTCCTCAGGAGAAGGTTACATAAATTCCCCGCTTGTTAGAAGGGCGATGAGTTATGTTGATCGTGGAATTTTCGTTACTCAGAAACCATACAAGGATAGTTCACAGCCAATTGGTGATAATGTCAAAATCTTGGCACCTCATGTAGCAAGTCTGGTATCATTCTTTAAGTCCGGTTATCGTTCATTATGGCATATCGTGGAAGTGAAACAATTGACGAAAGGCTTGATACATGATTTGAAATGCTTTATTCCTGATTGCCTTACTCCACAACGCATCAAAGCGTGTGCAGGAGTTGTCAGTCATGCGATTATTGGAGTTTGGGCAGAAATACTTGCTTAGCTGAGTGAACACCTTACTCCAACAACAAGGGTAACACGTAGCATTTAAAGTCACAAGTGTTCTGACGGTTAGCATATTCTAAAAGGATGATTTTCAGCACTCAGTAGTCACTGCTGAAATAACACATTGTGAAATGGCTTTGAAGTTGTGGACTTTTTATTTCATAAAATCTGGCTACCTACTCGATTGGCCGGTTGCATTTGGCTTGGTAATTTGGTTGTTATGAAATTCTTAGTCAGATGGAATTAACTTTACACATTTACAAGGATACGTCTTACTTTAGTGAAAATTAAAATGATAGGTTTAGTTCTCGCATAAACAAATCAAAATACTAGCTTGTGTGCGTCAGGCTATAAATTACGAGCGTTTCTCATCCTGTCACACAATTATCCTAACGACTATGTGCTAGGTAAATGTACGGGATCTATGAAATTATGAAGCATAGATCTGCAATCCACTCTTTGTAAACTCATAAGATATGGGGACACTTTTCCGACATTAGATGTCATTTGTAATTTTTATTCTCCACCTTGTTTTCATGTCTTTTGATTTATCTTTATGAACAGTCAGGAGAATGATATTTATACTTCGATATATTTGTACATATTTCTAGTGTTGCATTTCAACCCGTTAAATTCTAATTACGAATTTCTGTATCTGTTTTGTGATGCAGCATGCTCTTATTCTGGGAGCTTTAGAAAGCCGTTTCCTAATTTGTGGGTACGTTTCTTGTATATCATGCCACAGTGGATACTTATTGTCAATAATGGGCCTTTACGTAAGTCCTATGAAGTTTTGCTTGAGTTCGCTATTGTATTGAGTCATTGATATTGATTTCAAACCCTCACAACCATCTGATCACCGTTTGTTGCTTCGATTTGTTTGTTTACCTGAGTATTTAATATTTTTGGAATATTTTGATATTTTCTTTGTTGCGTGTACGATGCGTTATGCAAGGTGCTGAGAAAACATGTTTTATTTAAATATCATGAACTCACTGGAACCTGATCCATTAGTTGTTGTTACTTGTTTTAGGTTTTGAATAGTTAACGAGCTCCCTCACTTTAAGACGACAATTGAAGATCCCTACTACATATCAGATGCTGTTGTTGGGTGTTTCTTTGGTGAACTATTTGTAAGTTATGTAACTCTTACCTTAGCTCAAAGAATAAATAATTTCCATATCCAGATTCACTTCATTGTTACTGATGCTCGCTGTATTGTATGAATAATCTTTGAGCATTTATACAACAGACATGTGTGCTGGACATTATTATCATTATGTAATGGTTTAAAAATGAAAAGAGCTTGCATACTTGACAGTCTGATATATACTCTATGTGTAATAGCACAAATACCTGTTCTCAAGCAAAGGTACAAAACAATACTGCTAACCACGACAATAGCTACAATTATTTTTTCAATGTTTAGTATCTGAGGAATATTGAAGTGCAAAATGAAGCCTTTCCTGACAAAGCCAGTTTGTATAAGTATGGTGTGTCCTACTTTGTGGCTATGAGACACGTTCATTGAAGATAGATTGCCGATTCTTGACCTTACATTTCTGTGTTAGATAGGCAGTGAAGTTAGGAAGGTGGTCCTAGATGAAGTGGAAAAATTATCGGTGATGTTATGTGATTGAGAAATTTAGGAAATATGTTGCTCATGCGTAGTCATCTCCGTTTTCGACTAACTTAAATGGTATTACACTGGGAAGGACTTAGAAGTAATCAAGCGTAGAACGTTACACAAATCAGTAAAGTATATAGACAGTTGATTTGAAAAAATTCGGAAATGTTCAGATTTTCTATCTTATATGCTTGATAAGTTACATGCCCGTGGCTGTAGACTACTGATGTTAGGCTTTAAAATAATTTGCAGTGACATACGCATTTTCAGTATTCGGAAATCCCCACTAATCTTCACCTCAGTGTTCTGTTTATTCATTTAAGTCTAATGTACTGGGCTGTACTTTGAAGACAGATTTTCCATACTGCATTTTAGTTTCTTTGATATTTGAAGTGAATTAAGACCTGAAAATGAATTTGCTGTGCTGTCTATGAAAACTGTCTGTTACCATTTATCACCATTTCTCAGCCACGTCTCGTAAATCGTTAACACCCAGCTCTTGCTACGCTGGGATTCACGCTGTTCCTTGAAGTTTCTCAGAAACGCTTATTAATAACGGACGAAAAACATAAACACCAATTGGCGACTCGAGGATTCTTTATTGTAACACCAACATATAAACACTGCTGCAACTAAGGTCTGTGAACAAATATTACAATAATAAATCACCATATTACTTCTGACGGTTTTCCGCTGACTTCTTTCTGAACAGCGACCGATGAGATGACAACTGTCGTATTGATGCCTCCGCGAAAATTGGGGAAGTTGGTTTTGAGCAAACATCCATGAATTGATCGTTCAATCTTCAACTACATTGACACCACTACTTTTCAACAGAAAAGTGTCCGTGGATTAATTGGTATCACCTTCCTCGTAATCTTTTATTCAGTTAAGATTAATATAACATTCAGTGAATTTCCAGAATATATTTTCTACATCTAGCCTATCATGCGCTAAATTACACACCGAGATTTATATATGGTCATTGCACAATTTTAAGCAAATTATTCAACATTCTCAAAAGAAGAAACGATTTGCATTCAGTGTCTTTCTCTTACCAAGATCTTTTTCTTCATCCTTATATATTCTGGGTAGAACATCGAGCTTCAAGCTGGAACTTTGAAGTTTCAGTAGCACTGGTGTCAGGTTTTGCTACGGCGCATGCGGAAAACCTTCGCTCTCTACTAGGCTTGCTGTCAGTTGAGTGAGGCTTAGGAGAGCATCAGCAAAGAATCAAACTTGGATTCCGAGGGGGGGGTTGTTCGCCATTCTGTAACACTCCACCAGTGACCTACAGACCTAGTGGACATTGTCCATCTTTATCGTCCTAAGATTAGAGTCTTCAGCGGCGCGTGTCCACAATGCCTGTACGTATAGAACGCGATCTCTTCAGTCTACGAGGTCAAGTTGGTTGACTATCCGGGTAGTTAGATCTCAAAAAACCTTTTATGCTTAACTATTTTGGAAAACTAATAAGGGAGGATATGTTTGGTTTCCAGATATAAACAGTGTCAATGGAGTTGAAGATTGAACGATCAATTCTTGGTTGTTTGCTCAAAATCAACTTCCTCGATTTTCGCGGAGACATCAATACGACAGTCATCGTCTCATCGGTCGCTGTTCAGAAAGAAGAGTGAAACATCGTCAGGAGTAACATAAGGATTTATTATTGTCATATTTGTTTACAGACTTTAGTTTGCTTAGTTCGCTTATTCCTTTTATATGTTGGTGTAACAATACAGAAATATCAAACGGCAGATCGGTGTTTTGGTTTTTGCGTCCGTTATAACCAAGCGTTTCTGAGAAATCTTCTAAGAACAGCGTGGGCTCGAGCGTAGCGAGAGCTGGGCATTAACGGTTTATGAGACTTGGCTGACAGTTTCTGACGATAGAAACAGATCTGGCGGATTCAAACAGTTGGTGAAAGTTTAGATAGTCGTCGTTCATTTTTCCTGGTGCCGGTCTAGTCCCCTTTGAACAAGCAATATCTGGAACGTTTTTGAATTGGGTCAAGTTGAACAATGCCTGGGTCAAAGAAGGGACAGAGTGTCTTGGATGCAAACAGGAAAGTAAGTCATGGTGACTTGTCTGTTAATTGTAACGGTGTGTCTGATGTTAAGTATGACATGGTTGATGTTACTGTTCCGCCGTTCAGGGATAATAGGAACATCAAACTCCCTAAATTAGAACCACGGTGATTTGATGGAAACCCGGCTGATTATTTACAATTTGTAAAGGAGTTTGAGATCATGTTGAGTAGTTGTCTATCAAGTGATGAATTGAAGTTAGTGTATTTGATGAGATATTGCACTGGAGATGCTTCAAGAGCTATACAGTGCTGTAAGTTTATGAAGCCAAAGGAGGGCTACTACGAGGCTCTGAGCATATTACGTCAAAGGTTTGGAAGACCTTCGATGATTGCAGGGAAATTATTCGAGGCTGTTAAGGGTAATGGTGGTCAATTACAGGATGACTCCCAGGCACTCACTGAGTTTTTAGATAATTTGCTAATTTACAAGAATGGAATGATTTCGATGAATCGAATGAGTGACTTCAACTCGAGCTCAGTCCTAGAAGTAATAGCAAGACGTCTACCTACTCGACTGCAAAGGAAGTGGGTGAAGATGAGCTCCCGTATGGAGGATGAGGGTATCGAGCCAAAGTTTGATGATATCCTGAAACTGGTAAATACTAGTGTCAATGAATCTATGAGCAAGTTCGCCAGTCTGTTAGATCTCACCCCTAGAATAGAGCAGTCTGAGATCAAAATGCAATCATTGATGACGAGTAGGCCTCAGAGAGGTGGATATCGAGAAGGCTCCATGATGTATAGTAATGCATATAAACTTATTGAGTGCAACAGGTTTCGTAGTACATCCTCAAAAGATAAGTTACAAGATGCAAGACAAACACGGTTTTGTTTTACACGTGTGCAAGAGGTGCATACAGAAGTGAACTGTGAACCGGTGAGCAAGTTCAGTGGTAAGCTAAATGTAAACTCCAGGTCTGACTCCGAATTGTGTGACGATAACGGTGTTGTGAAAAAGTCTGTAGTTGCAACTGGTAAGCCGTTGTTGAATAGAGTGTCACAGAATAGAGTTACTGCTTCAGAGGGCAGTTCGGACTCCACAAGTTTACAAGGTATTACTAGTCAGAGTGAAGTTGTAAAACCTTTAATGGTTTGTGAGGAAGAACCAAAATTGTCTACTTCTGTTATTAAAGAGTTTGAAAATGATGAAGTTGACGGTAAATTGAATATTTGTGGTAATGATCATGATATTTCACAGTTGTCTTTGGTTGATCATTATGAGATGCGGGATATGCCTACTACTGCTAAGTTAAATAAAGGTTCTGTACAACTACAACGTGAAGTAGAATTGAACGCAGATGCAGTTCCAAAAGGTGTGCATACTTGTGAGACCGTCAGTGTAATTGATCAGCGTGTAGCCCACCTATCATCAGATGATAGTGCTAAACCCGAACTAGTAGTGAAAGACAGAAGTGGTGGTAGTCTTGCAGTTGGACAACTATCTGAAAGCCGAAAAAGAACAGCTTCTGATCCACCACTAACTTCATCACCTTGTGTCACTCAGTCATCGTTGGTGTTTTCATCCACAATGAAACAGATGTCCATCAACTCTAGTATCTTCTGCAATGACTATGGTAATATCAGTTCGTTTGAAAGGACGAATATCAATGGTCAGTTAAGTGTGGATAAGCCAAGTGTAAAGGAGAGAGTTATTGTTAAATTGACTTGCACGAATAAAGGCATTTCTAGTTTCAAGTTACTATTTGAATGTTATTATCTTTGGTGTAAATTACTCTGTTTCTACACTTGGTTGATGAGATATGTCGTGTGTTTGTTGGTCATCTATATTCTACGATACAATGACATGGGCGTTTTGCCGTTCAGATTTGAGGATATAGCTGATAGAAGGAAGTTAGCAAATGAACTCTGCGACGATTTTCCAACCTAGGGCGTCAACCTGAGAAGGGTTGTAGGCGTACTGCTGTAAGTCCTACAGTTCTTCAAAGGGTAGCGCATCAATGAGCAGTCCAATGTGCTTGGTGTATGATCTTGTACATATGTTCATATTGTATATACTGAATTGATATCATCTGTCATCTAGCTGTTGGTAATTCTGTTTGTGTCCGGACGACTTCCACTTGGATCATCAACCTGAGAAGGAATGTAGGCGTACTGCTGTAAGTCCTACAGTTCTTCAAGGGTAGTTTGTCGTGTCAGAATCCACAACATTTGATGTAGTGATTGTACATATGTTTGTGTTAAATAATTGTGTGAGTTCCAATTATTGTAATTGTTGGTTAATCTTGTTTGTGTCTGGATATTCCACAACTTACAATCGTCAACCTGTGAAGGGTTGCAGGCGTACTGGTGTAAGTCCTCCAATTCTTCAAAATAATTCCACCAAGACATGATCAGCGAGGTTGTTCGTACTATTTGTATATACGTGTGGTGTGTCATATCAATTGGTGTTTTTTGGATTCATTGTGTTTACTTGTTGTTTTCGTGTCTTGTTGTTATTGCGTAATTTTGTTAAAATTTTCGTCGTGATTATTTCTGAAGTTGTTTCTAGTCTTCTACATCCATGAATGAATTGATTGATGTTAAGGACAGCAGATGGGTCGTATACGCCGGGGAGGCTAGGCTATTGCTGAAAATGAAATGCACACGGATATAATTGTTAGCTGCGGTCTGACACGCCGGGGAGAAAGAGTGTAAACGACTGAGGCTCGCATGCGTCACCGCTACTAGAACTGAGGCAGAATGAGTGACAAGCGATTTCAGTGGTAATTGGTATTGAGTAGATAAGAGGATGTGCGTAGAGTATCGTGAGGTCCTGCCATGGTCACTTTGCATTCTGCAAGAGTCATTCTAGCAAATGGCGGTTGTGTTGCAAGATGTCAAGAGGAGGTCTCTATCTGGAGGCGCAGGTCGTCATTGATGTGTGAGATTGTACTGTGGGTATGCTTGTGGTGTGTTGGCTTTTCTGTTTGTTTTCCATTTCAGCTCTGTCCGTGTGACCCAGGTTCTCGCAACGGCATTCAAGTGAACGTGTATTGTTCTTGGTTGCAAAACGAATGGATCCTTATTTCGCCAGGGAGTGTCAATGGAGTTGAAGATTGAACAATCAATTCATGGTTGTTTGCTCGAAATCAACTACCCCAATTTTCGCGGAGGCATCAATACAACAGTCATCGTCTCATCGGTCGCTGTTCAGAAAGGAGAGTGAAACATCGTCAGGAGTAACATAAGGATTTATTATTGTCATATTTGTTTACAGACTTTAGTTTGCTTAGTTCGCTTATTCCTTTTATATGTTGGTGTAACAATACAGAAATATCAAACGGCAGATCGGTGTTTTGGTTTTTGCGTCCGTTATAACCAAGCGTTTCTGAGAAATCTTCTAAGAACAGCGTGGGCTCGAGCGTAGCGAGAGCTGGGCATTAACGGTTTATGAGACTTGGCTGACAAACAGCATTAATGGTAATTTGTAGTAATTTATTGTAATTGAAATATTAATATACCGGGATGACGGAATTATAGGAATCTAATCAAAACCCAGAGAGGGCAGCAATCAATGATTTGTATTTAGCGGAATTAGAATGCAATTCATATAAGAAACATATCAACAGTCAACAGTAAGTATTTAAACAATACAGAGATAGAAATTGTCAATCACCACATGCGCCACACCTCGAATATCGCCTCGCGTATTTATAACGATGTCTCGGTTTGCTTGCAAGTAACTTCGAGCTAACTGATTCTGTGATATTATTTTCATCAGTACTATCTGGACTTATTTCTGAATTATTTCATCTATTGTCACTTTGTCCAGGTGTCCGTTATGAACTGAGTGATCTTTGATGTCTAATATTTTCACCACTCGATTTCCCATTTTTTGTAGTATAATTCCAACAGAAGATCTGTAGTTATTATCTTTGTAATAATGTACATTAGAAGTAGTGGACATCAGATGCTTTTTGAGAATTCGAGATTTGAATAGTTTTGCAGGACTTTCACAAGAACTTGTATGCTCTGGATTCACCAGACGTAGTCTATGCATATGCAGTAATTCCTGAATTTTATTCAGTTGCTCTCTCATCTCATTCAGGTCTTTTCGTGCTTTCGACAGTTCACATTGCAACTTAGCTACCTCATTTTTGAATACAGTTGATACTTGCGTCGTTGAACTTGCAGTGGAGGTTTTCGTTGGATGAGATTGAGTATTCTGAAAAGTTGAAAGACACATTGACTCCATTTTACTAGACAGCTTGGGAGAATTATAAGAATGTTGAGCAACATAAGTACTCGAACTCCTGCAAACCGTCTTGATGTGTCCAACTTTACCACATTTATAGCACTTAGCACTCCGAAAACGGCAAGTGCTTCGTAGATGTAACTTTCCACAGGATAAACACGGTTTAATGTTTTTGATCTCTCGCTGCATTCTGTTACCTGTGGATGGCAGTTTGGATTGCTTTCCATTACCACTTGTATTTTTGACTTTAGAAAGCATAACATCAGACACTGACGTAGTGAGAGCAGAGTATTCATTATTGACATCTTCATATGTAATGCATACATCTTTAGCAGTTTGAAACGTACAAGAGGGAATCTGAATTAACTCTTTCTCTAATTTAGGAATGTTGATTCCAGCAATTAGACGATCACGTAGTTGTGTATGCAGCTGATATCCAAAATTACACTTTGAGGCTTGAATTTGGAGTTGTAGTATAAAGTCTCTTATCTTCTGATTGGGAGAACGTACCAGTTTGTTGAACTGAGCCCTCTCTCTGGTCTCAAATGTAGTTACATGAAAGTGATTTATAAGAAGTTCACGTAGCATTCCAAATAATCAGCAATCTCTCGCGGAGACCCATTAATGGGGAATTTTCCCAGGTTACTTATCTCCATCACGACGCCAATTTGTAGTAATTTATTGTACTTGGAAATATTAATATACCGGGATGACGGAATTATAGGAATCTAATCAAAACCCAGAGAGGGCAGCAATCAGTAATTTGTATTTAGCGGAATTAGAATGCAATTCATATAAGAAACATATCAACAGTCAACAGTGAGTATTTAAACAATACAGAGATAGAAATTGTCAATCACCACATAATTGCAAACTTGTCAGTTTCATTTCTACTATTCTGTTTGTTATGAATAATGTGATTTTTACTTATTACTTTAATTGTATAAGTTAGTTCGTGCCTTCAAGTGGCTTACTGTTTTGATAAATTTTACCCTTCTATTATTTAAAGGTAACCAGAAAAGGTATTGTTGCAGGAGTTGAAACTGAAAAGAGTTTGACCGATTTGAATTATGCGAACATCGAAAAATGGATCCAATCTAGTCGAATAGCAAAAGCATTCCATTATAACAGAGATGAACCGTTAAACCTTTATACTCGCTCCAAAGAATCTGATGAAGTGCCCGATGGGCCATAAAGTGCTACATTTTATAATGGAGGTGACATGGAAACTGTTGATGTAGCATGACGATAAGCATTTTGTACACATCAGTTCTTCTATCAGATCGTCAATGACATCGGCGGCCTGCTTAAATCTTGAGCTACCAAAATTTCCTCCTACATATTACATGTATTTCCTCGGATTTATTTTATTTTAATCATTCATACCACTTCCATACTTGTAACCAATAACTCTCATTTCTAATAGTTATGGTTAATCAAAGTAAAAAGCAACGAACCCAATCCCCTGTAAAACTGGTGTCTAATTTAACGTCCTTGATTGCTACATCAAGCAACACACCCCCTACAAACGGCTATAGTGAGTCACATAACTCACGTGTATGCCGTAAGCGTCGAGCTGAAACTGAAAATAAAACTGTACTGACAGCCAGTATTAGCACTACTCCTAAAAATTCGGTACCCTCTGCTCATACAGAACTCCTCCCTTCACCTTATGTGCTTATGGAGAAACTCCAGCCATCAAGCTCTTTTTCAGTACTATCTTCAGAAATAGAACTTCTAAAGTTGTCTATAGGAGAACTTAAGGCTGAGTTAAGGGAAATAAAAAACAGTAAGTCAGTAAATGCTGGAAACATCGAAACCAATACCGAGATATCCAAATTATCAGATCAGATCAGCGATATCAGATCGCAGGTCTGTGAACTGACACCTCTAACTATCCTCATGAAAACGGTAAACCTTAACAAGCTTGACACAGAATCGGTAACTAAGGTAGATAACCTCATTAACTTTGTTACCACAGAAGTAACAAAACGACTCGACGCAAAACTGAGTGCTATTGTCTACAACGTTCCGGACAATGAGGCACTAAAAAAGGTACAGCGCATCTTACTTAGTGAAGCGAAAATGCCTAACTCCAAGACTAAGTGCTATAGGCTGAAGAAGAGTCAACATGAAAAGTGTTGTCCTATTCGTTTTCAGTTCGAAACACCGGCAGAGACCAGAAAATTCATTCACTCCCAACACACCCTATCGCAAGCCAGAAACTACAAACATATAAAGGTCGGGGTGGACAAAACAGTCATAGAAAGGCGCGCATACAACTATCTCACTAAGACTAATTGTGAAATAGGTAATAGGACATTGCAAGCAGCCATTATTCCCAACCCTGTGAAAGATACAGTAGACCCCACCGCATCACCCCTCTCAAAACACACAGAAATATCCCATCAGAGTGCAACACCAGCCGAAAGGCCACTAGACTGTAACCAAATAAATAATAAAACCATACCACCCATCACCGCAGAATCTAAAATGCCACTAAATAACCCCAGAAAAAAAGTCAAAACCCCCGAAATTCGACTTTGTCTCCTCCTAGCTATAATTCCATTGCTAAAGATAAGGAAAATATGCCCCTAAATCATACCAACAAAAACAGTGGCAGCTTAAATAAACCCACACTCCCACGGTCAATAGTATTAGCACCCACAACGTGCTAAATCGCACCATGGCACACACTAATATCCAATGTCACAACGATGTCACCCTAAATAGTACAAGTGGTAATAGTCAGAACTCGGCTACCAACAACTCAGGGTCTTCAGAGTATGGCACACAAACAAATTTCGACCGGATATATGGTACAAGTCTGCTGGGAACTAACCCACAATGCAGTACACACGAAACCCACACAAGGACACAACTAGCATCAAACAATAGGTGGAATAATAAGCCATGGTCATCACAAGGATCCAATCATTTTTTATCCCCCGCGTCCCTGTCAGCGTTGAAAAAACAGCTGGTAGGGATGTTAACACTCCTAAACCACTAGTGCTGGCTCCCTCCTTGCATGAAAACAGGAACGGTCTAGTGCACCCGTATCCATTGGACACACTTGACACTTGCACAAGTATAGGCCAAATAAAGAACCCTACCCACTTCTGTAACCTAACTAAAAATAAAAGTTCCTTAGTCTATAGCAAATCCAGTACTCCAACTCCTAATTCTCCACCGAAAACAGCACACAACAACTCGATAGACATAGGTGAGCATGATGCTGAAACTCCTCTTAACATAGGATCGTCATGTCCAGCAGAACTACTGGGTGCTGAACCATATTCGGGGCTGACTAACGAACTTAAATACTTCAAATGCTACTTCAACTCTCATCTTTACGTAATCCTCATAAATGCTAGATCTGTTCTAAATAAATTGCCGATGCTCAGAGCACTCACAGTAATATACAAACCCCCTGTAATTGTCATCACTGAATCTTGGTGTCATTCGGACATCCTGGATGAAGAAATAAGCTTAGATAACTACACACACTTTCGGTGTGACAGGGAAGGTGGTAAGGGAGGGGGTTGTCTCATGTACTTTCTGAATGAACTTACTGTATCACAGCTAGAAAGTAGTACACTTAACATGCCTGAGACTCTATGGGTTAATGTACACTTAAATAACGTAACAGCATTAATTGGATGCACCTACAGAGCACCTGGCACCTTTAGTAATTACGAGACCCAACTTATTAATACTCTGGAGCAATTATCCGACTTACAATACGATCATAAGATCCTATGTGGGGACTTTAACTTACCTGAAATCAACTGGGATATACCCACAGGTCCAACTAAATTTGATAAGTTCTTAGACACACTGGATATACTTGGCTGGAAACAAACTGTCACTACTCCCACAAGAGGTAACAACGTACTAGACTTAATCTTCTGCCACAATATAAGCCCCCTTTCAACGCTAGTAGGTTCTGAGTTCCCAGGGAGCGACCACAAAACAGTGTATGTGCACTGCCAATTCCGCTGAGTAGCAATGCATCTCATACCTCCACTTCACAACAAGTAATATATAGGAACTATAGTAAGGCAAACTGGGCCTTAGTAGAATCAATGCTAAGATCCTCCAAATGGGATGAATACTTCACTACTGATGACCTATCGAGAGCCCTAACCATCTTCTACCATAACTCAAACACATGCTTAGATGCTGTCATTCCACTCCAAACACTAAAGGTTTCCCCACACAGAAAGTCATTCATAAAACCAAAGGATCGTAAGAAACTGAAGAAACTCTCAACAAGTTACTTCAAACACCACGACTTTGGCACTCTAGGTCTAATACTTAACACCCTTAGCTCCATCTCACAAGCTCGAGATTTCCGTATGAGAAAGGAAGAACGCATCGCAGTAGCCAGTCCTGCTAGAGTGTATGCACTCACAGAAATCTTAAGGAAGCGAATGAATCGCAAAAATCACAGCATTTCTCTCCTCATAGACAAAGGCAGGCTATGCACTAACTCTGCAGACATATGTGAACTATTCAACAAAACGTTTGCAGGTAACTACCTTAAGCCCTCAGTCCAGCTACTCGATATACACCCTATTACTAAATGGCACAAACTCCAACTCCACTCACACCAAACCAAATTAGCACTGTTCAATTCACTTACGCTAATATTAACCAAACTATAAGAACCCTCAAAAGTTCAAAAGGTTTCGGTACCGACGGTATATCATCTTACTTCTATAAATATGGTGGCCCTGACATTCCTCTACTGCTGCTTAAAATATTCACAATGTCCCTAGAAACCCAAACTTACCCTGACATATGGAAGACAACATTCATTATGCCTAAACACAAATCTGGCTCGAAAACTGAAGTCAGTAACTACCGGCCAATCAATATCACACCTATAGCATCTAGAATCATGGAGAGACTAGTCAAAGATAACTTAATCAAACATATGCTTAGCTGCAACATTATAAGTCCGAACCAACATGGATTCCTGAAATCCAGATCATGTTTAACATGTCACCTAGACTTCTTCAATTTTGTAACCAGCAGTCGTGACAGACGGCAACTAGTACTTGTCATCTACTTTGACATTTCTAAGGCATTTGACCGTGTTGACCATTTACTGCTAACAAATAAGCTGAACTCCTTAGGAATACGTGACCCATTATTAGGATGGCTTAAATCATTCCTTAACAATAGGTCCCAAATAGTTAAACTCGGGTCTGCAACCTCCAAACCTAGCCCTATCACTTCTGGTGTAGTACAAGGTAGTGTCATTGGACCCCTCCTATTTACACTATACATCAATGACATATGCGCTTGCTTCACGCACGGGAAACCATTCATCTTTGCAGATGACCTAAAAGTAGCTTATACATTCCAACGTGATGACTTAGGGAACTTCGAGAATGTAGTACAGAAGGAATTAGATAAAATGACTGCTTGGTCGTCCCTATGGAATCTCCAATTTAATCTGAACAAATGTGGCTGGATCTGCTTCGGTGCACCCTCAATTGACCTGAAATTAACGCTCCAATCTGCTAACCTAACAAGACTCCGAAGTGTCGTTGACCTAGGCCTGAGGTACTCTAGTGACTTGACATTCTCTGAGCAAGTAGCATCACAGACTAGAAAATCGAGGATGCTCTTAGGATGCATACTCAGGAACTTTCACGACAATGAAGCCAAGCTAATTCTGTACAAAACATGTGTCAGACCACTACTAGAATACTGTCCATTTATTATAAGCAGCACTCGCACACGTGACAAGCTAAGGATGGAAAGTATCCAACGATATTTTACCTCAAAACTGCTTGGCTACGATTGTAAGAAAGACTACATCTCACGGTGCATGATCCTAAAACTCGACCCACTTTGGACAAGGCGACTTATTATAAACCTAATATTCTTCTTTAAGGTCCTTCACAAAATATCATTCTCAGGTAACAGGGACATACAATTCGCACAGGAAGGTTCTTACGATCTGCGTAACCAAACTTCCACAGTGACAACTCATTCTTTTAGGTCAACACTCCGTGAAAACTTCTTCACAGTCATGTATTCTAAAATATGGAATAGCCTACCCCTAGATGTCAGAACTTGCTCTTCGGTTACAAGCTTCAAACGCTCTCTATACAGACTGTTTCACTCTACTGATTATATTAATAAACTATTTACTCCTAAAACGAATCAACTACTAATCTACTACAGCACCTAAAAGACGCACTTCAACACCCTTAGCAATCTTTAAACTATAAATAAACTAGCAGCATGGATGCATAAAGACATAGTACGGAACATACAGGATTAGTTTACCCTTAGATTATTATTATTATTGTATCCTTTAGTTCCTAGAGGAACATAGGGCTTCAGCTGCGCACCTCCATCGACTTCGGTTTTCTGACAACTTTTTCACCCTGCTCCAGGTCTGTCCACATGCTTTCATCTCCTCCTCGCATGACCTCCTCCAGGTCACCCTTGGACGACCAACTCGCCGCCTCCCTTTCGGGTTCCATTTGAGGGCTTGTCTAGTGATGTCACTTGATGGTTTCCTCAGCGTATGGCCAATCCATCTCCATTTCTTTCTGCCTATTTGTTTCACAATAGGTTCCGGTTGGTTCGCTCATCTCCAGAGATCCCTGTTGCTGATCTTTTCTGGCCGGCCATCTGATCTTGAGTATTGAGCGAAGACAGATGTTAATGAAGGTCTGTAGTTTGTTTGAGATGCTCTTTATGACTCGCCAAGTCTCTGATCCGTATAGTAGCACTGACTGACTTCACATTGGAGTTGAAAATCCGGATCTTATTTTTGATGGTGAGTGCTGTTGACCTCCACATAGATTTGAGAGTAATGAAAGCTTGTCTTGCTTTTCCGATTCTGGCTTTGATGTCCTCGTCAGTTCCGCCTGTAGTTGAGACGATGCTTCCCAGGTAGGTGAAGGAGGTTGTTTCTTTCAGGTTCTTCCCATTTATGCTTATTGTGGTCTGTTGGTGTTGTTGATGTTGGCTAGGAATCTTCATTATCTCTGTTTTATCTATGTTCACGTGAAGTCCTATCTTTGATGCTTCTTCTGCCAACTTGTTACTTTTCACTTGCATATCTTCCAGTTTATGGGAAATCAGACATATATCATCGGCGAAATCCAGATCCTCCAAGTCTTTTGTGTCAGTCCATTTTATGCCTGTTCCCTCGTTGGTTGCCGTTGTCTGTCGCATTATCCAATCAATTGCAATCAGGAAGATCATTTGCGATAGTAGACAGCCTTGCCTAACTCCTGTCCTCACTTCGAAAGATTTCCATAAGCTTCCCGTTGTGAATTACTTGGCATGCAGCACTGTCGTATAACTGTTGGATGAGACGTATAATTGTCGATGGCACCCCGTAGTAGCGAAGTAGTTGCCAAATCACCTCTCGATCGACGCTGTCGAAGGCC